GTCATTTATGGGTCCTTACCGATGTAGGGGTAACAGTAGATATGCGTCATTGGATCATGCGAAATTAGTGTCTCATATTAACTTGGAAGTATCTTAAAATCTGTCAATTCTGTTTGTTAAAAATCTCCCTTTTGTAATGAGCAGCTAGAGAAGAACATTCTTTTTATACATTTCTTTGTTGGCAACTAAATTATCATACACATCTCATTAAAAGAAGTAAAATACAATACCTCCTGCTGTAGCGGCTTAGTTCCGCAGCTCTTTAGGGAGCTTAAGAAATCTTCACTGTTGCGTTTGTATGCTGGAACTTTGCCTTGTAAACTGTTCCATATGTCCCCTTGCCAATCACAAGATCGTTTATATGACATGACGGAGGATACACAGAGTATAGTTTGTTGAATGCTGCTACTGCAACCGTGAGTTTTTAGTAGAGATTTGTTATATACTATACTAGGTAATTTGTTTAGTTCTGAAGCTACCTGTCACGACCCAAGCACAAGATGGGATGAACAGACTAATCAGCACCAATATTCAGATATAAATTGAGGATACAAGGAGAATATGGGGTGAGAAATCAGCAAGGAAAGGGGAGTTACAGAGAGCAGGAGGTGAGGGCGAGAGCAAGGGGGTGAGAAGCTTCAGACGTTTCACAAATCCATCCCTCCCTTCCTCTGTCTAGCTTCTCCTTTATAATCCATTCGCCTATTCACGGAACTGGGCCAAGCCCAAGTCTCACGGCCCATTCCATCGAGAAGGCCTTGGATAAGAAGAGGGCCATGACCCTTGGGACATGACATTCTCGCCCTCTTAAAATGCGGCTTGACCTCAAGCCGGTGACGCAGTACCAATGAATAGCCAAATTCACCTGGGTCCAATGGTCGATCGATCAGTCTATCTCTCTTGTCCGACAGCCATCCAACATCATAATCACTCTTTGCACTTCTATGTAGATACTTGATCCTCATTTAGTAATTGCCCGGCCATGAAGATTCAAGACTCTAGGATCCCACTGTGTTGTAGCAGAAAGCTCCAGTCCATGACCAAGAAAATCTTTCACAACAGGAACAAATAAGCAAGACACCCATGTGGTCGAAAACAGCTTAATAGTGCCGAGGCAATGAACATCAAAGATTCCTGGGTCCCATAATCTGCTAGCTGAACTTGTTACTTTAGGAAGCACCCTCTGTTCCACATTTTTAATTGCAAAGGTTGAACCTGAATCTCCTATCATAGAGCTCCATCGAGTGTAAATAAGAACTGTGCAATTTTGCAATTTACTTGCAACAGCAGCATGTGGTGACATGGAGTTGTTGTGAATACCAAATTGCTTTGTACAAGTTTTAGATGCACCCCTTATACCCGGATTCCACAACCTTAGCCCACACAAGAATTGGCAGAAGTATTTCAGTTGTGGTTCCTCTTGAACTGGCAATGCTGTGGGCATAGTTCCGGAGATAATAAAATTTGGTCCATGACCAAGAGAGCATCTCACCACAGGAATGAATAAGCACAACATCCACTCAATCACAGTACCAAGGTAATGAACATGCCAGATATCCTTGAGCACTAACTGCCACGTACTTGCACTTGCTTGCAAACCAGTAGAACAAGCAGCAACAGCAAAATAGTCCAAATAAGTAGGAACACCTTCTCGCACTGGAGCAGCACAAGGATTGTACAAAGTCTCAAAAATGTTGGTGACCACACTGCCCTTGATACCATTAAAGAATGCCTGTGCAATTATCCAATGGAATTGTTCAAAATGATATAGGGGAGCAGTCAAGAGTTGCTCGGAGTTGCACTGTAAGCCAGCAAGGATGTCAGACGAGCTGGGGACTAGAAACACCGGAACCCATATATGCAATGGCAAGTGAAAGTGAATAATGGGCTGAGGAACTCCGGCAAACAATTCTCTTCCTTCTGTATGCAGTGATGGTACTCTTCTTTTGTTAACAGGTTCACCAGGTTGAGTAACATCCAGGAGGGCCTCAGCTTGAAATGTCATCGGTGCCTCCCTGATTATTTGTTGCACAGACCCCGATTTCGTTTCCCAGTAATTAGGTCGTTGTAGTTGTACCCATGGGACAGCTGACAACCCAGGTTTGCCAATCAAACCATCCACACTCAGGCTGCTCGTCATATCATCGGTGCCTCCCATCATAATTTTCATAGTCACCAATAATACCCACCATGTACTACTAATTATGGTGTAGCAAGAATATTCAGTTGCACTAGCAAACTCATGAGAGATACCTTTAACTCCTCTTAAGGTGAACCGAGAAGAATTGAGCATAGTTTCACATCCGTCGCCACAATCAGGAGGTCCAGCCAGAGGTAGAGGACAATAAACATGAACTGGTTGCACCAGACAAAAATGCCATTCAACATTCATCAGCTCAGTGTACTTGTCGAATAGGAAGTCTGTGGGCAAAAGTGCAGCTTCCCAATTAAGCACCGAAGTCAAAACCTCGCTGGTAGCATGGAACTCGTTGTGAGCTTCATAAATTGTACAGGCCAGCTGCACATATTGGTTATGTGGGCACCATTTCTTAAGCATCTGGAACACATCATCCATCTGCAAGTGACCTTGTCGCCATGAGCTAACTAAAAGAAGTGAAAAATGTTGTGCACCCATGGACAAAATGTCAACTACGTGAGCCATATACCAATTAGTCTTGCATGCCTCACGTGCTGCTAGTACCATATTTATGGAACCTGATTTTATGTCTGAACCTGAAGCTATCAGAAACTCGCACAAGAGGTCTAGTAACTGTGACTTTCCTGCAGCTGACTCCAGCAACATTCGGACACACCCCAGATTCACCTTGACATGGACTGGTGGCAAGGTCGAACAACGAACCACATACCTGCTCGACACAGTTGCGGCGCTTGATGGCGACTCGGCAATATTGCCCTGAGCTGTATTGATATGCTTGCTGAAGAACGAAGGCCATGGTACTGGCCGGATCACCTGTCCTTGTGCATTCAGACCCATTGTCAGATTTGCTCTGGGCACTGGTGTCAACACGTAGGCAACCTCGACATAGCTTTTTAACCAACAACTCGTGGGAGTTGTTGTGATGAGTTCGAGGTCAGGAACCGGGCGCTGCGGTGGAGGTGTAGCCAGTGTAGTCCAGAGTACCATGGACACTGACATTGGGCCATCGTCATCATTACCATGGGCCAGACCACCGGTCGAGAAGATGGCGGGCGTTGGTGCAGCGATGTGGATGGTGTTGATGTCGAGGGCCTCGTCGCACACAGCAGGGGAGGCAAGCTCGGGAAATATGTTGACAGTGGCATCAGAACTCGGGCACTCTGTCGAGCGCATGGTCGTTGTTGGAGTAGCAAGCCTGCTGCCGCCGATGCCATGGTCTTGTACTTCATGGGCGTGGCCATCACCACGCTTCTCGGAGCCCATCGCTTCATCCTTCATGATCTCTTTCTCCCTTATCCGAGCAAGGCACGATGCTCTGGTGATGCTAGACGGCATTTGCGACTGCACGGCTGCTTGAATATCCATGTGCAAGCCCTGGACGTACTGGTGTACGAAGCACTTGATGCTTATGGTGGAGTTGAGATCCAGCACACGATGTACTCGTTCCCAGAATGCCGCCGTGTACTCGGCCATGGTTGTGGTCTGCTTGAGCTCCAGCAGCAAGCACAAGTGCAGGTTATACTCCGGCGACACGTCCTGGATGTCAAGGAGACAGGCGTGCCCGTAGACATACCGACCATGCAAGGCGAGAGCCCGCGCCGCCCCGACTTTTGATCGAAGCTGAACCACTGCCTCCACATGGTGGATTCTCTGGAACACGACGACCTTCAACACACCATACACGGCAAACACCTGCAGTAGTGTCTCCTCAGTGACCGGGTAGTACACATGGTGCACGGTGACGCGGAGAACGCCGCCGGTGAACACCTCTGGTTGGCTGGACATTTCGTCGAACATATGGTAGGCAGGAAGTAGGTGGTGATTTTTTTGTTGGCTCTGAATACCAAATTGTCACGACCCAAGCACAAGATGGGATGAACAGACTAATCAGCACCAATATTCAGATATAAATTGAGGATACAAGGAGAATATGGGGTGAGAAATCAGCAAGGAAAGGGGAGTTACAGAGAGCAGGAGGTGAGGGCGAGAGCAAGGGGGTGAGAAGCTTCAGACGTTTCACAAATCCATCCCTCCCTTCCTCTGTCTAGCTTCTCCTTTATAATCCATTCGCCTATTCACGGAACTGGGCCAAGCCCAAGTCTCACGGCCCATTCCATCGAGAAGGCCTTGGATAAGAAGAGGGCCATGACCCTTGGGACATGACACTACCCACTGTTCTAGAGCTTTAAGTTTATTTTTTGAAGCATCCACCTGTCTTTGTTTACATGCTTTCAGTCAATGTGGTTTTGGTTTAAGCTTTGATATTTCATCTCAGTTTTTCTTACCGTGCTTTTCCTGCAAGCAATGTACCGAGTGTTGCCGATGCCAAGGCCTACCTTCTGTCCCTGTTTATTCATATGCTATTTAATATCTACAGTTGAATACGCTTCAGATTTTGAGATATTGCCATATTGGACAGGCATTGGAAACAGTGGGGCTGAGAAGGAGACACCGGAGCAAGGCTCTGCTGCAAGCTCAAGCACAGAGTCGCCAAAGTCAGAGTAGTGCTAATGCGGATCCCCAACCCGGACAGTTAACCACTATTCCACTAAGTTGGTCTTGTAGTAGCGGTGTGGCAAAAATAGCTTGCTTTACGTTGTTGCCATTAAAATTGCAAAAATAGCTTGCGCTCAGAAACTGTCTGATCTGAGCAATGTAATCGGTATGCCCACTGTACTAGTATATCGTATTACAATATTGTTCTGATTGTAGTATTTTACAACGCTGCTGCACGTTACTATGGAGTTGTCGGGCGACAGGGTGACACCCGACCGGCGACGCGACGAGGACGGCAAGAACGCGCGTGATCTCTCTATAGCTAATTCAAATTCACACACATAATTTACATCAGATCGGGCGACGCGACGAGGACGGCAAGAACAACGGCGGACACAAGAGTGGAGGCAGCCAAAGAGGCGACGTGGCGGCACCCGATGCCGTAAGGCTCGAGGGTGCCGCTTGGCCCGAAGGTCCCGCTCCCGTTGAAGCTCCCCGGCGGGCCGAACGCCGACGGGGGACCGAACCCAGTCGGGGGTCCGAAGCCACCCGCGGGAGGGCCGAAGCCGGTCGGAGGGGGCCCGAAGTCGGACGGAGGGCTGGAGCCGACCGGAGGCGTGAGGCCACCCGACGGAGGGGCGAGGCTCGTCGGAGGGCTGGCGCTCGGCACGCTCGAGTTGGAGCCTCCCGCCATGGAGCTGCAACCATGAAATCGATACCGTGTCAGACTTTTGAAGTGATCTTGGAGCAGAAATATGCTGAGTGTCGCGAGAAATGGTGCTCACCTTCCCGCGAAGACGCACGATCCGGAGCCTGCAGCGAGCGATCAACATGAAAGAATCAGAGAACATACATCCATGGTGGTACAGGAGATCGAAGAAGCTGTGCCAGACTGCTGCTTACTGGGATCAGTGGTGGTGGTGGTGGCGGTGCCGTTGAAGGAGCAGGTGGCGCCGGTGCTGGAGCCCTTCTGGTAGTAGTCGTTGTAGGCGTAGGAGGCCAGCGCCGCCAGGTTGTTCTGCTTGTAGCAAGCCCCCCCGGGCTGGATCGCGGAGCAGTCGGCCTGGCCCTGCCCGCACGCCCAGCTCAGCCCCGCCTGCAGCGCCGTCGGGTCCGCGTTCTGCAGCGCCACGCAGAACGTCCCCGACGCCAGCGACCGCCTCCCGCCGCCCCCACCGGCAGTATGATGCGAGTAGCTGCGGTACACCAGCGCGCCGTCGAGCCCCTCCGGCTCCGCGGCGATCAGCGGGATGCCCGAGAAGCCGAGCGCCCGCATCGCGGCGTACGCGTCGGCGACTCTGGCGTCGTCGGCGGCGGCCTCCCGCGCGTGAGCCTGCTTGAGGAAGAGCGGCGAGCCGGTCTCGCTCAGGAACCGCAGGACGAGCCCCGCGACGCCGGCGGACCAGGACGGGGCGAGCGGGACCGACGACAGCGCGGTGGACACCCTGACACGGCCGTCGAGGCGGGCGGCGACGAGCGCGGCGTGGAGGTTCAGCATGGCGGGGACCAGCGAGTAGGCGTCGCCGGGAGAGCCAGAGCCGGACGACAGGACGTCGTCTCCCGCCAGGACGTGCGTGATCATGGTCGCCGGGACGAACGGCGCCACGTTGGCGGCGACCCAGAGCCGGGCCTCCTCCCGGAACTCGGCCATGTGCTGCAGCCGCGAGCTGGGGATGCTGACCATGACCTCCGCTCCGGTGTCGGCGAGGGATCGCAGCAGCCGGTGGTCCGCTCCGCCGCACACGCGCGCCCGCTTGGTCTGCTTAGACGAGTGCACGATCTTCGCCAGGTCCGACGGAGAATCCTCCGTCTCCGTGGGGAGGATCGTGTCGTCCCCCAGAGAAGTGCCTGCCCATCATCACGGTAAATTTGAGTTCAGTTGTAGTAAATATTTTTCTCGTTTGATCACGATGAGCTAGCATGTACGCGTGTCGCGTCTGCTTTCGCCTTTTTTGCTCATGAGTCACTCAACTCAAGATAAGACTCCGGAAAGGGAGCGCACAAGCATCGCATCGCAGCTTAAAAGTCCCTTTGTGCTGCTGCACGCTTTCAAGAAAACGAAAACGAAAAATAGAAGCCTGTCTGTGTGCCGTGCCGTCGCGTCTTTGGAAAAAGACGCCACCTCATGTAGTGCCGCCATGTTACATCCTTTCTGTTCTGTCTTTCCATCGTTCGTTCTTTCCACGATGCTCTACGTACGTACGTACGTCCGGGAATGTATGTCGAGTTAAGTAACGAATCTTGGGCGCGCGACAGAAAGGAAGGCCTGAATGGAACCCGGCACCGGCAGCACGGCAGTGAAACTGAAACTGAAACCGGAGCACGGGCCTAAGCTAGTCACATACCTGACGCCGCGTTGGAGAGAAGAAGAAGGACGAGGACCAAAACGCATCCCTGCCATCTCTCGCGCAACATTGGAGCTTCTCCCTGCGTGCGACGACGATGCAAACGCCTGCTGGAACGAACTCGAGGCAGCAGACATGTCAGAATATATATACACCCGTACAAACAACGAATTTTTGCAATTTGTCCATAAATATATTCCGGCCGTAAGGAAAGGCCGTGAATTATCGTGGCTTCGATCGTGACACGGTTTGGAATACTATTCCTATTTATTTTCCGGCAAGCATGGGATGTATACGCGGGCCTGCGGCATTATTTGAGCTCCATGATGCATGCTTCCAGATGGATCGTCACCAGCAACACTAGTGCTACAACAGGAGGACAGGACACGCCGCCACACGGAAAGAAGGAAACAACAATTGATCGAGGAGAAGAAGATGGAGTGGAACACTTTGGTCCGCTTGTGACACCGACCGATCAACCGATTCCATCAAAAGTGTCAACATCTGACAGGGCCACGATCACATGCATAGTCCAAGGACAGTTGCGTTTATCACCCGCCCAACACAATTTGGTGGGTAAACGGAGACACCTAACACCATCCTAACAAGTATGCTTGGCGATTTAGAGTAACTAACTGGTTAAGCTATAGCTCCTGATTAGCTAACAACAACTTCTTTTCGAGTAATACTGCAAACGGGTGGTTCATGGAAAGGAAACACTGCTCTTAACTAACAATATATCCTGCTATTTTCGTTCCTAGCCGAGGTATGTAAGCTCCGTGGATGGATGGACGAAGAAAAAACACACAATTGTTGGATTGGATTGGTTCTTCCCGTCACCGTTAAGCTTAATTTGGCTACCCTGCTGCTTGCAAATGCTCAAGGAAAGTAATCCTAGTACAAAGCAGCAATCGGGCAATCTAATCTAACCTCTTCATGTGGAAAGCGGTTGAATTGAAGTTAATTGTGAAGCTAAAAGAGAAGGAATCACATCTCAAAACAAGCTAGAGAATTTAAGAAGGGCAAGCTCAATTCAGTGGAAGAACTGCCGATGATTGCCGTACATACCTCAACTGGCCGGCCCCAGGAAGCTAGAGCTTGCTTCTCCCGCACAAAAAGCTATTGTGTGTATGGAAACGAGAAGTTGTTAACGCTCGCTTAACTAGACCCCTGGATCGATCCTCGTGCTTCTTGGAGCCTGCAGTCCGCGGCGGGGAGAGGCCTTCGCTCGGGGCTGTATGTATGACCATGTGAGCACAAGCGCATGGCCTTTTTTATATGCGCACTGGGCAACCACACCCGCGCTGATGTACGCTAGACGACGCACACACACACGGCTGACTGTGATTGGGCGATGCCGCGACCAAGAGATGCCAAGGTGGTGCAGCGCAGCGGCGAGGCCGCGAGAGAAGTGTTTGCCGACTTGTGTGTGGCTGGCTGTGCGCGTAGCGTACACACTGCACACGGCCAAGGAAGGAATAAAGAGATAGAGATTATATTTGACTGTGCCTTGTGTGTGTATGTAGTCCGCCGTCATCTTGTCCGTTAAACGTGTGCCATTTGCGCACGGGCGCATGCTGTCACTTTGATTTTCATGGCTGGGGTTGCGGCGTGTCGGACGTGGTCGGTCGCTAATTCGTGGCGTCAGTCGCTGGCCCGTACGTGTCGCCGAAAGATCGAGATTGTTTCATGCACGTTCTACGTTATATCCCTTGTACTACTATTGACATTCATGGCCTCTTTGATTCACAGGATTGTCGAAATGAAGGAATAGAAAAAATGCAGGAATAGGTTGGCATGCCCGATAGTATCCTACATAATTTGAAAGAATGTTTGATAGCGCAGGAAAAACAAAGGAATTCTACAAAGAGGTTTGAGTGTATGGAAATTTTCCTTCAAAATGTAGTACAAATGAATCCTATGGAATAATTCCTAAGGATGCCAATCCTACGAATCAAACGAGCATCACAGAAAAAATTCCTAAGGGTTCAAATTCTCAAAAAATCCTATGCAATTCCTTTGAATCAAAGGAGCCCTCAGTTTGGCCAAGGGCTTCAGTTGGCAGTGCTGATGTGAGGAAAGCGTAAGCATTCGCCACACCGTCGATGCATCTGTGAGCGAGCCTGCTTGGATCAAGATTGCAGCTGCCTTTTAACCAAACCTCAAGTTAAACTGAATCCCCCGTAAAGCACTACGGTCAGATATAAGCCGTGAGCAGGCGAGTCCCGCCATGCCATGGTGTGTGGTGGTGTTGGGTACAACTTCAAACCCAAACCCCCCCTACACAGAGAGACACAGCCTACCGCAACGGCAGGCGAGTGCGAACCCAGCTTTGAGTTTGTCAAACCGGCCGTGCCGAATCAACGGCAGGTGACCCATCCGCACATCGCCTTCCAACGGCGCATCATCTCCTCTTTCTCTTTCTTTATTTATTATTATCTCTCCGCCGAATAATCCCTATCCCTCCTTTATCTGACGCCGATTCAAAAGCAAAGCATGGCCTATGCTCTTGATTAAGCCGACTCAAAAGCATGGCATGGCCTAGGTTGTTGATTAATTAGGGCATGTACAATGGAGGTATATGGATGCATATGCCCCATGACAAAAAGGTAATTTGAGGCATCTGCATTTATTTTTCTCCCCAATACAAGCTATCACTAGTGGGACTCAATAAAAGATAAAAAATAAAGACTCTAGTACACATGCATCTCTACTTTTCACTCTAACCTTTTCAGCATTTGTCACCGGACCACACTTTTTCTCTTCAAACACCCGCCTCCTGGAGAGGATCCCGCTTCCCTATCCGAACCTACTTTACGTCATATCCGATCCTACATGGCATGCGAGGCATCACCTTGAGGCTATGCATTGTACATGCCCTTAGCTAGCTCGTGCATGCCAATCCCAGCTTACTTTCGCGGTCTGGTGACGCCAACTCGTGGATATCCTTCATACCATCGCTGCTTTCCGGTGTCATCAGCGCCAAGGTTTCCCGTCTAGTTGCACCAAGAAAAGGTCACCAAGAAAAGGTAAGGCTAAAAGCAAAATCCGTTCTGCCTTTAGGATATAGAAGCGTTGCAAAAATCGGCTGACCGATCTCTGCCTCGCCACCCATGCTACGCGATAGGGCCCAACACCGCTTTGGAGTATATTTGACAAAAGACTACCACATCTCACGTCACCGTCCCATGGAACTATCACATTTTAAAAAGTGACCGCAAACTCCAGATTAGTATCAATTTTGTGACAAAAAACTATCAAATTGAGTTGATGATCTTTTTTTTATGATTTTAAACCTGTTTATGACATGCGGGACCCGCGTGTCAGAGCTGACATGGCGGGAGAGTCAACTCCGTTTATTTTAACAGTTACGTTGACCGTTATTACATATGGGTCCCGCACGTCAGCATCTACCTTCTTCTTCCTCGTCCTCTTTCTCTCTTAGGCATTTCAACGAACACCTAGTGTTCGTGCCCACATCGTGAAACGGAGCATGGGCGCGCCGTCGAGCTCTGCGTCCTCGTTGGCGCGGACCCATTTCCAGCAACTGCAACAAACGGGTTGCCTCCACCGCCACTCTCCTTCGAAACCGTGCCTTCCCCGAGCAGCTCCCCCTTTCTCTCACCCTCGGAGACCTCCTGACATGGATCACACGATCCTCGCCGGCGCTCGCAAGGTACTGTCCATCCAGGCTGAAGTTGATGCACCACACAGAGCCAGAGTGCGCGGCTAACTCCTGCATCATGAACATGCCGGTGAGCTCCTTGCACGTCTTCCCATACTGCCGCACCTTGACCCTGCCCGCACTGCGCATGCTGCTGTCGTCGAGGCTGTCGTCAGTGGCGGAGCTGAGGCGGCGCGCCTCCCTCTCCTTTTCTCCTTCTCCTTGTCCCTCACCTCGGTGCTGCTGCGGCGCCCTCCGTAGGCGACGGTGCCAGCCAGGTGCCTGATGCCACACAGCCACCTGCCTCCTAATGCACCTCCTCGAGCTCGAACTCCGCCGCCAACGCCGCCAATGCTCTGGTTCCGAGCCAGCGGCGGCTTCCCGTGCCCGACGGATCTGGGAGCCTGTCCTCCTATAAAGGTGATATTAGAGTTATGCTAGTGGGTGATTGTGGATTAGTAGAAATACTTGTGTTGAGGTTTGTGATTCCCGTAGCATGCACGTATGGTGAACCGCTTTGTGATGAAGTTGGAGCATAATTTTATTTATTGATTGTCTTCCTTATGAGTGGCGGTCGGGGACAAGCGATGGTCTTTTCCTACCAATCTATCCCCCTAGGAGCATGCGCGTAGTACTTTGTTTTCAATGGCTTGTAGATTTTTGCAATAAGTATATGAGTTCTTTATGACTAATGTTGAGTCCATGGATTATACGCACTCTCACCCTTCCATCATTCCTAGCCTCTTCGGTACCGTGCATTGCCCTTTCTCACCTTGAGAGTCGGTGCAAACTTCGCCGGTGCATCCAAACCCCGTGATATGATACGCTCTGTCACACATAAGCCTCCTTATATCTTCCTCAAAATAGCAACCATACCTACCTATCATGGCATTTCCATAGCCATTCCGAGATATATTGCCATGCAACTTCCATCATCATCATATACATTACTTGAGCTTTTCATTGTCATGTTCTTTGCATGATCGTAAGATAGCTAGCATGATGTTTTCATGGCTTGTTCGTTTTTTGATGCCATTGCTATGCTAGATCATTGCACATCCCGGTACACTGCCGGAAGCATTCATATAGAGTCATATCTTTGTTCTAGATATTGAGTTGTAAGTAAATAAAAGTGTGATGATCATCATTATTAGAGCATTGCCCCAGTGAGGAAAGGATGAAGGAGACTATGATTTCCCCACAAGTCGGGATGAGACTCCGGACTTTATGAAAAATAAAAGAGGCCAAAGAAGTCCAAATAAAAAAAGAGGCCAAAGAAGCCCACCAAAAAAATTAAAAAAAATAAAAAAAATTAGAGAAGGGGCAATGTTACTATCCTTTTACCACACTTGTGCTTCAGAGTAGCACCATGTTCTTCATAGAGAGAGTCTCCTATGCTTTCACTT